ATGTTTATCGACTAAATCCCACACAACATGGATTATTAAATTATTCAAAAATTAGCGTTTTTTAGTTTTACAGAATACAAATAAGTAATGTTAATGATGAACATTTGGTATGAAAAGGTTCGTATAAACAAAACAAGGGCAGAGTGTCATATGAATACATACATAATGCTCTATACAATTAGCATTATATTGTGCAGTGTAATGGGTCAACATGAGTGATTATTTTGAAACATTCCTCTATAAAATGTGACGGTGTGGGTGGGTCGATAAAATCATCTGGATTCAATACTAGTCTTTTCGACATTTCTGTACATTCATTTATTTTCATAACGGATGTAATATGGCTACTTTACATCAAAATTATATGAATGGCATATTTCCATTACAGTGATACAAATAATTATTCGTGTTTTCAATATGCAAAATGTCTGACCCAGTATTTACGTGGGAGAGTAGGTGTACCCATTGTTCACGTTGATGTAGTATTGGATTATCAGAGGCGCGTGTATATAATATATTTACATTTGATTGAAAAATAAATCAAAGCTAACATTAATGTTGGTTTTAATGGTATATTGTCACAATAAATCATAAAACAATATTAGTATTAATGTAATGCGATCAAGAATTGTTTCCTCACTCCACTATTCATTGAAGTTTTACGATTATGAGATCATAGAAAGTGTAATTGCTCACTCCCAGATACATAATCAAATATAGGTTAGTTAATATCAACGGGGAAGGGGACAATACAAACAATTATCTTACTAAATTGTGTTAAGTAAATGAGTGTAAGATAATTTTATGATAATTAAATGTTTTTCCAAATTTTAATTTGATGTATTACTTGCATTTGCATTTCTTTAGAATTTAATTCCGGGTAGCTCGGTATTTAACCTTAGTGGTGAGGTAACGAACTTTATTATTCGAAGTGGAAACAAGGTAAGTATTTATAACTAATAACTTTTTTTAGTTACTTTATATTTCAGAGAATTCAGATAACATTTTCAACATTAATTAAAGATGAAATGTGGATTAATCGGTGTGATATTGAATATTTAGTTATGATTTATTATTAACATAACAATAACATTTAGATTTCAAATACATCAGTATGTGTAAATACCATTTTTTAATACCAATTTACCAAACCAAACGCGAATTGGCACGTTCGTCTCCGTTTTTGATTCATTGGGCAATGGCACATTACTCATTTAAGTCTTAATGTAAAAACATAGTCTCCCTTGATCGCTATGACAACAATCCTACTCTACAAATAAGATTTGTTATTCAGAAAATGTTAAGACATAACGTGCGTTGTATTGTCATGACGCTAAAGTGATTACAACTCGTGTGCATTGTGGCATAAATGAGTTCGGTGCAGTGTTCAGTACTACATACATTTCGATTTTACATTCAGAATGGC